TCTATAGGTACTACATGTGGACCTCTCTCAGATTTGTTAATTTTGTAATGATATCTTTAATTCTTTAATTTTGGTGAATATTTTTGTCATTTTTGGTAAAAACTGATATTTTCGACTTCTTGTTAAAAACCGCAAGTGCAATTGCTTTGATATTACATATATAGGTACTACATGTGGACCTCTCTCAGATTTGTTCATTTTGTAATGATATCTTTAATTCTCTAATTTTGGTGATATTTTTGTCATTTTTGGTAAAAACTGATATTTTCGACTTCTTGTTAAAAACCGCAAGTGCAAATGCTTTGATATTACATATATAGGTACTACATGTGGACCTCTCTCAGATTTGTTCATTTTGTAATGATATCTTTAATTCTCTAATTTTGGTAAATATTTTTGTCATTTTTTGGTGAAAAGTGATATTTTCGACTTCTTGTTAAAAACTGCAAGTCCAATTGCTTTGATACTACATATATAGGTACTACATGTGGACCTCTCTCAGATTTGTTCGTTTTGTGATGATATCTTCAATTCTCTAATTAATTTATTTTGGTGAATATTTTTGTAATTTTTGGTAAAAAGTGATATTTTCGACTTCTTGTTAAAAACTGTAAGTCCGATTGCTTTGATACTATTCATATTGTTCATTTTCTGATGATATCTTCAGTTCTTTGTGCATTGCTAACAGCGGAGCTATCTCAGCCGATAGGCTGCTTGTTTAAAATTTTATTTCAAGGTGAGAAATGGATAATTAAGTTCCATCGATTTCAAGGCGACTGTTTCATCGTGACAACTCTATGCTGTGTTGTAGTATAATAAATAGTACTTGTTTAATTATTTGGTTTTACAGCCCGCAAATTACGGGACATGATCCCCATGAATTACGATAAATAAATGCTGATTGTGTTGAATGACGGACGTCGGGACCGTTTGGAGAAACCAACGGGGATATACCAAACAAACTATTGGGACACAATCGGTAGACATTTCAAACAAATGAAATTATTAATGAAAGACGATTTTTTTTCAGATATTTACGAACATACTGTCATACTAAATATATGAAAAATTGACAAATACACAAAGAGATATTAGGTTTTATTTAAGCCTTAGAAATATTTTCTTTCACTCAGTCCATGCGTCGGACTTGGGGGAAATAACAATAATTATACAAATCGTAAACTCAACACAGTCAGGAAAAGAAACCCAGACAACCATGTTGTACTTCTGTTGAAATACATTTTGTAGCAGTGCGTAACGTCAGAATAACTTGTTTAAAATAAAATAGTCAATCCCAGCCAAATCTAGGTCAAAGGGTCAGATTGCGTTCATATAATTATAGATAGTTAAAACAAAAAGTATTTGAACTTTTGACGGTTGTTCAACATCTATGCACGGTTACTAAACTAGTAACCGTGATCTATGAAAACCAGAAAATTGTTAGTAGTTCGAATTTTTGCACAGTCGAAAATAAAGCGGAAATTCAACAAGCGGTCGCAAAAGTGAGCGATTGAAAAGTGGAAGCGGGCGAGAGGTTGGGCGAAATGAGTTCTGTACTTCTTTGTTTGATGAAGCGATGCTGATGCCACATTGTCGCCATAATGAGGCCACAATGAAGCGAAGCGATGACCGCCTCAACTTTTTATTTCGTGGCATTGAAGCGACGCTGAAGCCACAACAATGCCATATTGATGCGATGCTGAAGCGAAGCTGACGCTGAAGTGAAGCCAAAGCTTTTGCGAGAACTGTACTGTATGCTAATACTGTGAGCCCTGATAATTGAAATCTTTTTCTGGATGTCCTTCTGATTACTCAATTAAAACCATATAATAACGATGTAATGAAACTTTTTTTGTTAATGCTAAAACAGTGTGGATCAATTAATATGCACGTTTTTTAAATGAACTATATACAAGATGGTATTGAAGTGATGTGATCTTGTATCCCTATTTTTAAAACATTTTTTTCTTTTTTGTAACATCTCTGTTTCTTTTTATCAGATCTGTCGAAATATTCTAAGACT